TGTCTTTATCGATTATAGAACTCAGACACATAAGAATAACAACATACAATTATGTAAAATGTCTTAGTTACCTTTCATAAAATACTTTGAAAGTGCAAAGCAACAGTAATTAAGAAACTTCAAATCTATATGAAATCTTGATATGAAAACTATACAGTTCATAATAGCGCTTTAATTTTCAGTCTGATAGAATTTCACCATTATGACTTAGCTTTATGAGTTATAAAACATCATAGAATTTACTGATTAATAAGCTCATAAAATAAATAGCAAGGTAGTAACAGTTTCTCAACCAACTAAACGATCGACATACAGACAGATAAAATAATTAAATGAATGAAAAGGAACCGGATGCATAGGCTTATAATATGAAGGTAGTTTTCAATGAATAATGATATTATTTAGGGCAAGAAGAATTATAAAACACTTGTCTACTGCAGTTTTTAATCCATCAGCAGTGTGGAACCTACACTTCATTCAACCCTTGGACTGAAAACCAACCAATCGTATTTCTCAGGTAAGTAAGTGAAGTCAGAGATGAGGTGAACTGTTCAGTGTGCTGAATACGAAACAACGGTAGTCATATTTGGTAAATACCTTCAAGTGCTTATAGTAAAATCCTGATGATATATTACTTTGCTTGCTACATTTTCAGTTTCACAGCTTTCATGTAATGATCTACACAAGAAATTTTTTAGCAGATCTGATTTCTCCAAAGCACAGTCCTACTAAGTCTGCAGGGTTAATACGGAATTAAACAAAACTGAAACAGACAATATCAACGCATACGCTGAGGAGCCCATATGCCAATACAGGCCGATCAGTTAGGTCCACTTAACTACGAGACAACATTAGTAACAAGATTAAAACTATGTCCATCGCACAACAAGTAGCTATCGTGGCTCGGTGGTCTCGTAGATAACGCTCTATTGTTTGAAGCGATCGGCTCCGAGCTCGAGTCCCAGTGGGAACGATATCGTTCACTGTAAGGTAGGTAAATCCAGCTGACAAGTTCCAATTAGGATAAAATGCACGTCTTGGATTCCACTCATAGCCACTTTCCATCAATAACAACTGTTCTGTCACAGAGTATAAAGCTAAGGGAACATGTAATTTGTGAGTCATGCAATTCAAAACAAGAAGGGAGAATTTAATTACCTACTACTAAGGAAACAAGCAAGCATTAAACTTGAATGTAGAATTAAGCAAAATGTTCGCAGCACAAATCCCTGCCAAAAAAGATAGATGGAATGTCTGCGTCTACAGTAAAAGAAGCAAAGAAACGTCAATGCAACTGCTATGAAGACGGTTACAAAATCAAACCTTAAACACACTGTACGGACTAATTATCATAGAATGCAACGACGAGAGCGGTACTGATGAAGACTGAAAAATAAACTAATTAAAACAGAGTTATCAATGAAGTATCGTGAGATAAGAGCTTTCCGTGTAGTAAATGAGGAAACTATAACTTAACGTTAAAAAGCATACGCTGATAGGGATAAGTACATCAGTTCACGTGTTAAAAACGTGATTGTCTATCAGGTTGTCAATATATCTTACAAGAAAAAGAATTGAATATCAGTGTAAATCAGTGATTTAGCAACAAAAGACAAAGAAACGTGTATACAGTTCTTAGAACTGTTACAATACGTGTTGAAAACGTTAATTGATAAAATTCTTTGGAGAAATAGTAGTTAGATTGACATAAAAAAAAAGCATTTCGGGAAAGCACCGAATCACAAGTACAAAAACAGAGTAAATAAAGCCTCAATGAGAAAAATAAACTGTTTGCACATAATACTGTAATTAATGAACAATAGTTCCACTTTTTGGCATTGTCAACTGTAATGATACCGTTTTTAAAGTCTAACGGCTTTTATCCGCTGTGAACAAACTGTAAAGATACGATTCAGAGTGAAAAGCTTAAATTTCAAACAATGGATCTCAAATCTAAGCCAACTTCACTTCAGCCTGGGCAGCCGGGGAGTATCTTAAGCTATCAAATGATACGTATAGCTCACAGGCTAATACATAAACTTGTACCCGGTCGATATACACTAACACTTATTAGCTTTCACAGATTTGTTGCAATCTGGTCAAAATGTCTGCTTCACTTCATAGATGCTCACATTTTCTGATCTGCATGAGCATTACACTGTGCCACAATCGGTGGTCCTCTTCAGTGCCTTAAACTGGTTATCATAAAAAAGTTATAATGACCGTCTGGCATAGAATCGCCAAATGCTTGATGGAGGCAGTATTGTACTTAACCTTCAAATCGGCAACTACATATAGCTAAGTTTAGTGATGAATTAAAACTCTCCATGCACTCATAGTTCCGTGGTTTGATGTACAGTAATTTAAGTCTTGCTAGACATGCATATGATTTCACTTACCAAGCGATTAATGTTTTAATGATGAATAGTGGCCAGCAGTGGGATCCAGGACGCAAGTGGTGTCCTACTTGGGACTCGTCAGCTGGATGTACCTCCCTTCTAGGGAGCGACGTTGTTCCCACCAGGACTCGGGTCCGATCGCTTCAAACGACGGAATAATACAACCAACAGGATTCAATTGGTTTCTGGCTGGGAAGAGGTAGCGATAGAATGCTGGTTGGTTGGAAGAACAAATATGAATGTAAAATAGCATGACGTAGCCAAGTTGTTAGCGGCTTACAAGAAAGAAATAATCGAATAACTGATTGGACTCTACTATAACTGTCCCCAGAACTCAAACTAATTGACAATCAAGAGGATCAACAAGTGTATCGTATTAACCAGCGTACTGTATTATTAAATCGAATAATACTGCTGCAGGAAACGAGAAGACATAAAGAAGGAATGATTATTATTGATATCTTGTACAGTAGTCAACAAATATGGTACACCTTGCACCAAGATAGTCATTTATATAATGTGCTTCATTTCCTCTTCTGCTTCTATCCCGCTTTGCTCTTAATACACCCGTATTGTCTCTTGCTTTTTTATGGACAGAATCCTTACCCACTGCTACCAATTACCTATGATTCTGCCGCCCTCTCAACATATACTACTTTTATCCATTCTTATCAGCAACGCCCACTACACTGCTGCATAATGTTTAAAATCAAAAATAATACGAATGATATCTGACTAAAAGTGCACAAGTAACTAAACCAAAGGTCAGTAGATAGCTGATAATTTTTCATCAGCAAATGTAAGGCTGTCACCTATCAGTTTCCTACAGACTTCAATAGCATTTTGTCACTTCATTTACCGACATCTCTGATCTAATTGATGAGTTGGATAGTGATGAAACCACCCTATCATACAACTTCTAGAGCTTTTAATATTCATTCTACTCCCGAAATTTCATCCAGCCCATTGCACCTCTAGTTCGGCTAATTTAAATAAGTATTTTAAAGCTAAGAATGCAGTGCTGAACACTTTTCTTAGGAAACGCCTCAACCAGAATATCCTTAGAACAAATCATCTTAGAAGGAAGAATAAAAAGTGGCAATTAGCCTGTGAATTTGTCATGTTCTGCGAGCACATAGCCATCCACTGAGATATAACCATTACAATATTATCAGTTCCCAATGGCCTAACATGAAGATGAGACTATATGCATACCACTTCCGTTTTTTTTCTTCAACCCACTGAATATAATGTATGAATAAAAATAGTATTCACTACACATTGACATCAGTTAGAGAACCATTGATAATCTGGCAGCACAATACAGTTGTTTTTCCCTAGGATGGGACTAGTCATCGGTTCATAATCATGAGACTGTGAAGCATCGAGCTCAGGACTGTCGGGCCTCACGTTGCCATCCAACCAGTTGGCTGGAATCCAATGGTTCACATTCTGCCAATTTGTGATATAGAGTAACCATCAGTCCAATCCCGTTAGTGGGTATTTATTTTCACACCAGAGGTCATGACCTTTCACTAGAAATTCAGAAAACCCATCTTGAAGCAAATGAATAATGAACATAGAGCGATTATTCAACTGATTTATTATTCTTCAAAGTTAGTAATTATGGTAAATGCTTAGGCTATCGTTGTAGGCAGCTAGGATCTGGTTAATGTAGTAGAAACAATCCCTGTGGTAATGCATCCGTAATAATTTATCGATAAATGAAAAATAACTCTTTCAAGATAGAACTACATTCCGACTGTGAAATGTTGGACAGAAAAAGTAAAAAGAATCAGAAAGGACTCAAAAGCCGTAAATTGTTTATTAGTTTTCTTAGTAAAGGAACATGCAAAAGATGTACAAACGTTTCCGAACACGAAGACCACAGATATCCGCACGAATTCTCACGATTCGAGCTATGATATTAAAAGGCACCTGTGAACACTATTCGACACACTCGTTAAAATGTAACTTAATTTGTTCCGTCTGCGGTTACTTAACAACACGTTTGTCTATAGGTATGCCGTAAATAGCTTTCCGAACAGTATTTGAATTGGTAACCATGTAGAAAAATGGTGAAACGAGGTATCTGACTGAAAATAATCGGTTGATGATCGACAACAAAGAGACATTTTTCGGTAGCTGAAGCCTGAGGATTTAGAAAATGTTTGTCATTTTCCACAGTCGGGATGACCGAGTTATAATTATGGCTTCCGGTCTACTATACGAACCTTTACGAGGACGCTTAATTCTAGATAAAAACATCTATGACTTTTATGCGGTAATCCAGCCAACTATACTTCATTGGGAGCAAGATCTCCTCAAGTAAAATCGAAACTACCTCCATATTATTAGTAAGTATGACTTACTCACAATCAAGTTTTGATAGGACTTCGTCACATCAGAATATATGGAACTTTAAAAAGCACCTCTGATTGAAGCTTACATTATTGACTGTAAACTCATTAGTATATTAAGAAATTCTCGCAAGCAAAAAAACCTTTTAATTATTGTTTCTACGAATGTACATTGAACAGATGTTAACACTTTCCTATGAGTCTTTTAAATGAACACAATCTCGATGATAATAAATATTCACTATATACAAGTGATATATCTCTGTTTATGTGAATCTTTATAACGATCTAATATTGCTTGAATACGAAAACGTCGATAACCATAATCACATCCTTTAAACATATCCCATATAGGAAATAATGGACAGCATAATATATCCAAGTATTTCATGCAAATTATTCCACTAGGTGAATAACAACACTGACACATTGCATATTCACGTGCATTTCTATTTGATGGATACTTCCATTCTTCTTCTTCTACTTTAGGGACTATACTAGGACAAGCATTTGGACAGGATTTAGTTAAATTTTGTATTTTGTAATAAATTGAATCATACTGTTTAGACATTGTACAACATGTACAGGTTTCACAACAAGCTGACAGCAAACAACATCGTAAATCAGTTAAATCAGATTTTGAAGTAAGTGAGTCACTACTATCCTCCTCTTCCTCCTCCTCCTCCTCCTCCTCCTCGTCATCATCATCATCATCAATATACGAATTACTCTGTTGAATAGAATTATGTACATTACTACTTGTTTCATCCCATGGTTCAATTTTGATAAGGCGGCATTTTCGTTTAGATTCATACTTATACATCTTTATTATACGTATAGATTTTGGTTGTTTTATAATTACATTATAATTATTCATGTAGTAGAATGAAGGCAAACACATTTATGTATTACCAAGACATTATCAACGATGTCTTCGTGAAAATGAACCACAGCCTTAAAAATATTACATTACGCTATTCATCTAATATGTAAAACAAGATGTTCAAAAGTACAACGATCAACAGTTTATACTTCCATCTTTAAGCAGTGAGCAATGGCGGTAAACAGTAAGTACAGTGAATTTAATTCAAACAAAATTCTATCGATTTTTCTGCATTCCTTCAGGTAGAATATCACATGATTAGTTTTAAATAAGCAAATTATCTAAGCTAAAAGTGATTCGTTTCAAAATATGACTTTATACTGATTGTGATTGGTTTTTAATACTCGATAATATGCTAGTTTCGTCCCCCCCTTGAAATTTATTAGTAGAATGCCATTTCAGATGAAACTAACACTTGAAAAGATTAGTGCACAGTTCTAGTCTCAAGAGTGATCATGTAAAAAGAATTGGTTGATTGGCAATAATACATTCAGATATTGTTAAGTAGAAGTGAGCTGCGTAGAAAGCTAAGGAAGACCAGAACAAGATGTAGCATTAGTTCATAAAATCTTTGCTTGTTGGTTTCAGCCATTTCGGGAGGAGTAGGCTGTAAAGTTAGAGTCCTCGTGAAAATAGGAATCAATGGTTAGAGACCCTTGGTGAAATAGACGAAAAACGTTGACAGAGACGCAGATGTATTCACTCTTTGACAGGTTATAAAGTTTCAGCATCCTACTAATCTATGTCAACATTCACTGGTTTCTTTTCAATATTGACTTCACTATCTTTTTATTTTTGTTGCTAGTTTCCGTACTGTCGTTAAATCTTTTGACTAGTTTAATCTTTTCGGATGGTTCCTTTCGTAACCAATCATATTTCATAACTCCAGCTTACAACAGTTTTGTAACAGAAAGCATGAAGAATCCAAACGATGGTGTTGATATTGAACTATCCTTAACACAGTTCTAGCTTGTAAAACAAGGTTAAGGATATTGCAACTAAGGGGAAATTATAGGTTGAATGTATCTGTTTTGGATAAAAAGAGTACGCCTGTACCGTCGGATTGTCAGAGCTTCTGTTGCGTCTAGGTAGCGAATACGCATTCACTTTGAAATGTCTGCCTTCACTCTATAAATGACTTTGGAAGATTTTCGTGTAGCACAGTGACCAAAGATAACCAAATGCTCAAGAATCGAACTATTGACGGCTTTACACTGTCCTTTAGACAACCATGCAGGATAGTGTTCAGAGATGCGTTTCGACAGAACACGCTTTGTGTGGCCTATGTAACTAGCTCCATAAGAGCAGGTGAATTGGTAAACACACACGGAGGTGACTCAAAGCGGTAGTTTATTCTTTACACACTCTCGATTCAGTTGTTGACTGGAGGAAACAATCCGAAACTGGACGGAAAAGAGGACCTTCTCCAGTGCTTTGCAGAGCCGATTCTTCTGTATCTCTGCCAATGTATCTCCCTTGAATCCAATATTCATAAACAGTATCTTCTTTGGAACTGTAGGGGCTTCTTCTTTGAAATTCTTAAGGTTCATGCTTCTCTCAATGAATCTTGAAGGATAACTATTCTCGATTAATACTCTCCGAAGTATTTTCAGCTCCTCAATTACCGCATCATCTGCGTAAATTCGTCTAATTCATGTGCATAGTGAATGAATTTGATTCTATCCCTGACAAGTGGAACCCAGCTTTAAAAATGAGTAAACTGGCCCAAAACACTTTCTTTCCGACGAATCATTTTCAAGAGCTGAACATCGTAATTATAGTCACAATAAAGTATATTAATGAACCATGAAGTTTGCTGTCACCTAAAACAGTCTTAAAGAAAGTAAGAATATCGTCGTTCAGATATTGGACACAGTGAAGATGCTGATCCCAAGTGAATCCGATTGCCTTTTTCTTATGAAAAAATACTATCCCCTTTAAAAAATTGTTGTTATATCCTTTACCACATTTATTCAACCAATAACGTTTGATAAAGATTGGAAAATAGTGAAAAATATGCCCCCACATCGAAAATATAACCTCGATCGATACATTTGCATTCGCTTCCAAACAGACGAAAAATTTTCTAGACTCTTACTGAATCGTATGATAATACTGAGTAATTGAGTCGGTCAGTTGGTGTGGTAATACAACAGTTGAATTAATGAATAAAAATATGAAAATCTCCACTCATATATACCTCATTTATTACTGTTCTTACTACAAAAGTAAATATACAATGATTTTCCTGTCTCCTTATTTCGTTTAAATGTAATCGCCCTCGCTTATTGAAAATAAAGTGGAAGATATTACAAAATGAATGATAAACACTTATACAGATTACAATACGCCTTTATCTTTAAGTAAAGCATAAATCTGCATCGTGATATGGAGGATGACATTGATAAAACGGAGGCAGGAGATTTTAAGAAATCAAACAATTCTGTTAGGACATATGTTAAAGCAGTTGATAATAAGGTAATACCGTTTAACGAACAGTATGAAACTTTGGATCAGTTAAATCAGTTCGAGATGGAAATAAGAAGCTTAGGTTAGAATCAGGATCAACGCCTATGACTCGAATCGGGCGTACAACTACAGAATTAGGAGGGATAGTAACACTTTTCACAGTTACTTTTGAACTGATTTCATTTACTAGCTGGGATTGTTGTGCTGCGATGTCCACAATATTCTTATCAAAAGAGGAATTGTCCTTTGACTGGGGACAAGCATTTTCCAGTAACCAAGCGATGACCACCTCTGCGAACTGTCTGCATAAAGGTAAATTAACACCAGTCACTTCAATGAGGATATCCTGTGTATCAACTTTCAGCTATGAAGAAAAAGTGGAGCATGATTAATCACACAATTTGTGATATATTACAGCAGAATAAGAATGACTATAAAGTAAATATAATTTCCATAAATATGATATGTATAAACAAAGATACTTAAAGCAACTAGTACAGTAAATTCTGAATATTATGATAAACTGTTAAAAATATCTGATCCCTAAAAACTAACTGATAATACAGATACGCTTTCATTGTAAAATTTAAAATTTCGCTCCATGCAATGTTACTTATTTTTTACTGTATTTTAAGATACTGAACGCTTATAGGTTTATTTCACACTTTTTGTATGCTATTTTGTTTCCTAGGTCAAGTCCTTAAAAAAGTATATATATATATATATATATATATATATATATATATATATATATATATATATATATGACTGAACTTTCAGCTATAATAGCACCATTCGGTTTGAAGTAAATGTACCCTCAATCCCATTGTCTTTTTATTTTGGTGTCAATTGAGCATTGTATTGAGAAGTCACTGTTCTATCGTTAATCGTATGACGTCGGAGCATTATATCGTTCATATATAAATACCACAGAACAAAACGTAAACAACAGTAGATAAGTGAGGGTGCTGCACACTCGTTTCATGCTGTTGCTGAAATCCATGAGTACAAAGCTGCGGCGACAATCAAGAAAGCATACACGACAAAACTATCTTTGAAATGTTGGAAAAGATTCGTAGCTCAGGATAAGGGTGATGGTGGCTTGGTGTTCTCTGAGCTTTGATATTTTGTTCGCGTTGTGGCTTAGTATACGGATGGTGGTTTATCGTGTCGATAAAATATCAAAGCTCAGAGAAAACCAAACCACCACCAGGATTATCTTGTATAATAATAGTAGTGAAAACGATTTATTTACAAATGTGAACAATTGTGAATGTTTGGTGAACTATTAAGATTTGCTACATACTTAGATACATTAGAAGTACCATTTCAAAAGCGTTTACCCATCAATTTACATATGAAAAACATGTTTACCAAGAAGAGGTGTATGACTGATCTTAAAGCCGATCAGTAAATTGACCTTTCGATCAAGTAAAACGATGAAAGAGCGGAAGATTTTAACTCAATTTGGAAGTTTGCGAGAAATTGATTGATTTTCAAAGGGGCATCCATCACGTACTGACATAACAAAACTGCACGATACTCCACACCTTATCACGAGATGACCACTCCTTCTCTCCTCCAAGCCAGCCTAGAACTGGTAGACACTGAAAGATGTGGAAGTTGTAGGATCAACAATGTTCAGTCTACCGAAGCTAGTGTTTCAAGATGATATCATTCAATGAGATATGATATCCGTTGTATCAAAACACGCATCATCTCACCGACACAGCATTTCTACGGGATGCTTGTGATCTTTCAGTGACAATAGTGATCAAACACAGAGTAGTTGGATACCTTCAGTCCTAGGTTTCATAGGCGTACAGTTGGACCACCAACATCGAGAGATTGTACACTTGACCTTAAATATGCAGGTTAACATGGTAACGACTCCAAGGGGTGACTTACATTCGCATACAATGTTCTGATTTACGAATTAGGGTTCAGAGTCCCATCGATTACAACTCTCTCAGCACTGACAAAACTACTCATACGTGTGAATTTTCGAGTAAGATCAAGGTTCCAACCAACAGTAAATGCTAGTAAACGCTCCGTGGATCTTCTAGAGGGAATTTACACTTCGATGGTGCAATGTACACACCACTGTAATTAATATTCAGTAGGCATGACTTGAGCGGTCTCTATATCATCGCATAGTAAGACGGTATGAATTACAAGCTTAAGGCTGAAAAGTTTTAGTTCTGGTAGTAGGTTTGTACTACTTTTCTAATGATAATCTGAAGAATATTAAGGGCTCCCAAAGACAGACAATACCAACATAGGATGTGGCATTACTGCGTAACGGTTCAAGTCACCACATCTCATATCAGCACACTAAGCGAGAACGAACTGGGATGAAAGATAAAGTAATAGAGAGAAAAGCAGTGAAAGGTGGTAGAAAGCCGTGATACGATAATAGCGAAAAATAAGAAAATACCAAATTGAGTATGACGATTAACATGAGTATACCGTTTAGATACATCTGAGCCATATTACCCAGAGTCTCTAAACACTGGTTTCTATTGTCACGTGGATCCCAGACAGCTAGTCTACATTTCCTTACATGACTCAGACCAACAGTCAGTGATTTCATGCACAAATGCCACGTTTTCGTTTGACAGCCTTAAAACATTTTCCGGCCATCACGTACGTTAGTCAACACTGTGCGACGAGGCAGACGGTGACTGGGCATACATACGTAGCACATGCTCCATTCATCTCAGTCGATGAAGGTTTACTAGTGCATCAGTTGACTATCCTCTCCTCCCTAAAACAATACACCTGACTTTCACTTTACTCACGTGGTGACATTACGATACATGGTCTATGCTACGAAGGGGCAGGTGGTCATACACTTGAAGCCTTCTCGTATCCTGCAGTTGTCAAGTTTCATAGTCATAGGGTAGGATAGAAAGAAATGCAGCACAGTAAACTCTACCCCTAGTAGACAATTGGATATCACACTGGTACCATAAATGGCGTAAGTTGATGAAAGACAATCGAGCCTATCACATATATGCAGAGATTTCATCGGTCAATGACTAAGGTACCAGAGTAGGTCCGACTTCCCAAGTAAGTGAAGTCTTCACCGTACTCAATCATTTCACTCTCTATTGCTTGCCAGCGCACCAATAAAGACCAGTCCTGGAACAAAAATTTGCAATTGAGTCCCAAGAAATGCATCATAAAGATTCTCAAAATCGTAACTCAGTGTGCCCAAGAGACTGCATTTTGTCAGCGTTTTCGCCAAACAGAAATGTGATGTGCGTGCTCTGCATCTGCCAAAGATTATCCTGACTGACTGACTAACTAACTAACAAAATCAACATAGAACCTCCCACACAGGTGCATCGATTCAACTTGCCACACTTTACAGTAGTCTACAAAGAACAGGTGGATAGAAAAAGAGTGATATCAAAGTAAACAAAGTTGTGTGGGAAAATAAGCAATCTTTACCTAGCAGGACAATACTGTCTGCATACTCCAAGTCAATTAGATGACCACCAGCGAACAGACCAATTCCTCTGAAGTCAAACGTACCAAAGATTATGTTCATTAGTACATTTATAACGAAATCGAATACCAACAATGACAGTGGGCATCCCTGGTGCATACAACTAGCCATCGTAAATTCATATAACAACTCTCCATAAGCCCTTACACGACTACGTGAGTTTCAGTAGACAACACTGATCAAAGTTATGTACTTGTTCGGTACTCACTTCACAGTCAGACATTGCCACAACACCTCATGGTCGACAGAATTAAATGCTCCCCTAACGTCAAGAAATATGGCGTCGGCCGACAGGATGCCACACGATCAATAATTCGTCAGTCAAACGACAAAAAGAAAATCTCAGCAGGTAAGCATATCATAAAGGTGAAGGACAGAGACACTGGATATCATTGAAGAAAATAACTCGGCGTACATAACTCACATCATAATACATCAAAGGCTCTGACAGACCCATGGTGCTCGAAATAGATCAACAGTTTCCTGAACATGTTGAGCATAAGTCTGAGAATGTTTGGCATGCGTCCCACACCTATCATATGCAAGATGATGCTTGTGAACTGGTCTGCAAATACTCCCAGTTTAATGATACAAGGTGAAACATTTGAATATGTCGACTACTTCACTTACTTGGGAAGTTGCATCAGCCCGAACGGGCTGGTTGTTGACGAAATTTCAGCTCGGATACAGAAGACCCGTTTAGCACTTGCCAACTTGCATCACCTCTGACGCCAGCTGACCAGGCAGCCGACTACCCATAGAGGGCTAAGTATACTGCACTGTAGTTCATTCTGTCCTGTTATAAGACTGTGAGACATGGCTGTTATAAGTTGATGTAGAGAGATGACAGGTGTCTGACCATAGGTGTCTTCATAGCATTGCTCGTTTATGGTGGGATTACTGTGTGAGCAATATAGGGTTTATGCGAAGAGTACCAGGCAAGGAAGGAAAGTCGGTCGATGAGATTGTGAAGCTTTATCGACTGAGGTGGCTTGGATAAGTGTTGCACATGCCCCAAGTCACCGCCTCCTCTGACCTGCAGTGGTAGGAGAAGTCAGATTAGCTTGTAATACGGTTTAGGGTGGCCAGATCAAAAAGTGGCACCCGTGTATGAAATTCTTGACTGTTGGTCTGACCTGTTTAGGGAAGTGTAAACTGCCTGGCTGGAGTCCCTGAGACGACAGGAGTCAATGGTTGCGGACTCTTGGGGAAATGGCTGGGAATCTATCACAGAGGCGCAGATGTACTCACTCTACGATTTCTTTTTAAGCTTGAATGTTTTCGCCAACCTCAGTTTTTTTAAAACTCCCTCTCTTCCTATACACCACTGTCTACTTTGATATCATCTTCCCTATCCACCTGTTCTTTGTGGGACCTTGAACCGATGAACTTATGTGCGAGGTTCTACGTTGATTTTGTATATCTTCCTGTGCGGTGAAATCATCTGCTACGACAACCATATCAGAACGGTTGGTTTTCAGTAGGTTCGCCAGTTTGGAATAATGCAAGGAATTGATTTCAAACACATTTCAAATGGGACATGTTTTAAGATGTTAGTAAGCTTGCTTAGTTTTATGGAATACTAAAAACTCATTTATTATTATCAAGCTGAAAACATTCCAGCACACATAAAATGCATCTGTTACTTACCCGTGTATCATGACTGTTCGTAAGTGGAGGGACTGAGATAACTTTCCCTTTTTTGTCTACAACAACAGGAACCATCACCTTACTGAACACATTCGCTGTCATCGCACCCTCAATATTCAGAATATTTAAATAACGATAGATTTGACTGAATTTAGCTTGTTTACGGGATTTTCTATCTAACTGAGCCTCATGAACCAGGTGTTTTAGAAATGCTTCTCCTGTACACAATTGAGATCTATTTAATGGATGAACCTGTTAAAAAAGATAAGCAAATGCATACCCAATCTTTCTTTATCGTTTAAAATATTGGAATTGAAGTTGAAAATCACGCAGCGACAATAGATTTCGAAGAGAAACTTCGATACTGCACTTTTTTTCGACAGAGTATACTATTATTACTACTATTACTATTATTTTTGTTTAGAACGTAAACTTGGTAACACCAATTGGCACCAAGAGATGTGCCAAAATGGGTACCAACGGACAGACAACATGGAGAACAAACATGTATAAAACTACATCCATTTCCACTGCCAAATTTCGCCATAAGCATATGAAAAGATAATCAAATGATGAAAAGGTATCAAGGTAAACAAGAAGGACATGAGTGGACAATTAACAAAGCAGTAAATAAAATTATGCTGCAACTCCACTCACTACATGGATTTGTGTACTAGGCTATGAGCAATATTTATTGCATAAGAGCTTATGATACTACCCTATTTCCTAGGTCGAAGTAGATGGAACTGCTTTTGAGCAAAAAACCTATAACTTGAAAGTCGAGTCCCGATGAGCTAGTTATCTACGAACAAGTAAATAAAATGTAATATATCTGCATCATGATGGCTAGTTTTTATTCAATTTAGTCCTTTTTGATATCTACTAATCCATGAAAACACGAAAACACTAAACGTCTGCAGCCTTACCGACTAGTGACATTCCAGCTTATTCGCTCAAAGTTCCCTTCGAGTCTACTTTTAATATAGCTGGCAGCACAGAACTGTGGATCTAAGCACACGACTGTTTATCTAATAACATCACGCATGAGCAGTACTTCGGAAACAATAGTGACTAAATACCTAGAAATTACATAAGACTCTAACTTTAATGACTTTCTGGCACAGCTGTTGAGTGAACAGTTGAGCACTATACTCAATCTCTGACGAATATTCGGAGCTATAATTAAGGTAGGTTAGCGCATGCCTTTTGTATCACTTTGGTGATTTTATCATCCGTTGCTCCCCAATAGCGCTGATGCAACTAGATAATAAAGAGAAGTGGTAAGCGAACTTTTCAATCCAACCCCCTTATTCTTAACTATATGTTGATACATCTAACTGTTTAGAAATCATCTTGCATTGCATACGTATAAAACGTGCACCCAATACCAAGGTTTTTGTTTGAGAAAATAGAAACATCTCACATCTTATCAGAGCTCACAAATAACAAAAAAGTTAACTGAGTAGTACATAATCTACGAAATTTCTAGGTTACAGAGTTATCTCTAGTATGTTTGAAATGAACAGACTCATTATCATCCATATTTCTAAAACGAAACTGAACAGATATCCACACCAAATTGGAATTTGATGGTTCGAAAAAAAGTGGGCATTAGGTAAATGATATTCATTATTTCGATATTTGTATTTCAAATGAATATATAACAAAATAAATTTTTTTTAAACTGATGTCTCGCTATTTAATACTAATAGCTTTATCAAAATTATAATAAACCGGAATTCACAATATTTACGCTTATATACGATAACTTCATATGTGTTCTTCTGCATGAATGATCTTACATTGTCAAATTGTTGAACAAAGTTAATATTCATACATTGTGTATTGTGTGTGAAGAGTGTATGGATTACAGATTGAGATTTGTATGTACACATGTGTTGACAAACCTGATCAAATATATTTTGGTCGTCAGTATGCGGAGGGTAGATTGAAACCAAGACAAACTATGTTTTGCTCCCTCATTCCCATTTAGACAATTTTGATTCCACTTTATATGAAGAAATTTTGTTGAGAGGTTCTTTATAGTTCCTAAAGCCTTTCTGAATAATTTCGATGTTGTTAAAAATCGATCTGAAATTATAGCCTGTAGAGCTATGCGTGAAATGTTTCAAAGTTTTTCAGCTCTACTAGATTTCCGAGGGGTCGGGTAGAAGCTCTTCGGTATTCATTTTTTCTAATTTCGATTTCACAAGAGGTCTGTCCTGTGCATACTGCATCGCAGTTTGAGCATTTTATTTTATAAACACAATTAGATTGTGAATCCAGTAAGATCTCGTCGTTCAAATAGACTAAGATGCTCTGAAACGTGTTTGATGTCCTGCAGAACTCTGATATTGAAGTTATTTAGCACTCCGCTAACTTTATCTGATATATGGGTTCTATATGGGATAACTATTACTCAGGATCATGACTTAGAAGTAGTTTACGATTTAACGTTACTTTCTATTTTTCGAATGAGTTTCACCGGATAAGTATATTTATTTTAAGTATCATGTTTGCATGTTTTAATTCCTTAACTCTTTCACTTTCATCCGTTAGTAGAGAGGGCACCCTCCTTAAAAGACTGGAAGCAACAGAGACTTTCACACTAATTGGATGTGATGAACTGAAATCTCAATACTCCTTTGAATAAGTTGCTTTCCACTTTCTTTCCGCTAAAAAAGACAAAAACCGGAAAGATAGTTCACCATTATCCGTTTCTTTCACCGAGTCGAACTTGATAATGGGTGATCTAGAATTCAGGCGTACTAATAATACGTGGTATAAGTCACGTTTTAAAACTACGAATATATATATATATGCATATATACTAACTTTTTATACACTGAGGAATTCGGAAAAAGTAACAGGAACCCAGGAAACTAACTTCAAATGCTTGAGCTTCTTCCAGGCTATACGTAAGTGGAAAGACGACTCCTTGCAAATCATGGGTAGCTAAAGTGGCTCGACGGCGCATTTGGCCAATATCACGATGCCAGTCTTCTTGAGCACGTAGAAATGTCTTCAATTTTGCTTCAGAGGAAAACTGAACACCATGAATAGTGCAAGCAACTATGTATGGACGAGGACCAGACTTCACTGAATAAGTTTGATTAATTTGATATTGCTGAATTGATCATTTTCAAAAATAAAGACAAAACAACCAAAAGCACAATAACCAGAACATTTATCAGTATAAAACTAAACGCGTGATTATATGTGAGACAGAGAGACAAAGTCAACGTAGAACCTCGCACATAAGTTCATCGGTTCAAGGTCCCACAAAGAACAGGTGGATAGGGAAGATGATATCAAAGTAGACAGTGGTGTATAGGAAGAGAGGGAGTTTTAAAAAAACTGAGGTTGGCGAAAACATTCAAGCTTAAAAAGAAATCGTAGAGTGAGTACATCTGCGCCTCTGTGATAGATTCCCAGCCATTTCCCCAAGAGTCCGCAACCATTGACTCCTGTCGTCTCAGGGACTCCAGCCAGGCAGTTTACACTTCCCTAAACAGGTCAGACCAACAGTCAAGAATTTCATACACGGGTGCCACTTTTTGATCTGGCCACCCTAAACCGTATTACAAGCTAATCTGACTTCTCCTACCACTGCAGGTCAGAGGAGGCGGTGACTTGGGGCATGTGCAACACTTATCCAAGCCACCTCAGTCGATAAAGCTTCACAATCTCATCGACCGACTTTCCTTCCTTGCCTGGTACTCTTCGCATAAACCCTATATTGCTCACACAGTAATCCCACCATAAACGAGCAATGCTATGAAGACACCTATGGTCAGACACCTGTCATCTCTCTACATCAACTTATAACAGCCATGTCTCACAGTCTTATAACAGGACAGAATGAACTACAGTGCAGTATACTTAGCCCTCTATGGGTAGTCGGCTGCCTGGTCAGCTGGCGTCAGAGGTGATGCAAGTTGGCAAGTGCTAAACGGGTCTTCTGTATCCGAGCTGAAATTTCGTCAACAACCAGCCCGTTCGGGCTGATGCAACTTCCCAAGTAAGTGAAGTAGTCGACATATTCAAATGTTTCACCTTGTATCATTAAACTGGGAGTATTTGCAGACCAGTTCACAAGCATCATCTTGCATATGATAGGTGTGGGACGCATGCCAAACATTCTCAGACTTATGCTCAACATGTTCAGAAAACGCCACATTTTGTTAGCGTCTTCACCTAGAGAGACAATATCGTCTACGTGCTACAAGTCAACCAGGTACCTTTTAGGGATAAAATTAATCCTTGTGAAGGTAAGGATACCTAACGTTTCGTCCATTAGTACCTTTATAACGAAATTAAACAGGAACAGTGGCGGCGGGCATCCCTAATGGACACCACTGGTTGCCGTCAATTGAGATGGCAACGCTCCACAAAACCTTACACGGCTGCGTGAGTTTCATTAGAGAGCCCTGATTAGCGTTAAGTACTTCGCGAGTACTCCCGTCACAGTAAGACTGTTACAACCGCCTGACATTAGACGAAGTCGAATGTCACCTTTAGGTCAAGAAACATCTAGTGTCAGCTGCCGGTAATTATGCCCATGTTCCAGAATCCGTTGGAAGGTAAGAAACTGGTCAGTGTACTCTCGTCGAAGTGTGTCTGAAAGCTGCCTGTTTTCCTTACGTTTGTTGTTCTTGAGCTGTAGCTGGGCATCAGATAACTATGGACCCTAGGATCTTGGACCCGATTTCAGTAGAGCTTATTCTTTTATTACTGCCGCAAGGAGATTTCTCCCACTTCCTATAGACTTGGATAATCAGTGAAGTAGACCAGTTTGACGAGACTACCTCTGATTCCCATAAACTATCTGATACCTCCGTCACTTTAATCAGCAAACTCCTGCCTCCATCCTTAAAGTCTTCGGGTAGCAAACCATCAGATGCTACTGCTTTGAATCGTTTCACATTCATAACAGCCTCCACAACTTCGAAGAGAGTTGGGCGACCGACATCTACGTCCTGTTTAGGTTAAGGGCTGAAGTTTTGGTGTGGACCAGATGAATGGTGCATCAAAGTGTTCTGCCTAACGTTTTAGCTGTTTATCCTGAAAGGTTATCAGGATATTATTGTTTCAGATTACAGTCTCACTCACCATCATCTTTTTGCTAGCATTCCTAACAAGTTCAAATTATTGCCGGGTATTACCTAGTGCTGACGACTTCTTCGTCTCTCTCGTTTTCGTTACCAAACATTCCTCGTGACCAATGCCAAAATGTTTAGTCAATTTACGCTCCAATTGCTTTCGCTCTTCATTGTGGTCAGAGCTATCTGGAATAACTAAATATAAAACAAATGGTTAGTCCACATGGTCACTTAGGAATTTGCACTTGTGTCAGCAAGTATGACTTGTGATCTTGAATGCTTGCTTTCCACTGAAAAACTTGTTAACACTATGATCAGGAGATTTTAGGAAACACTCACACACAAGCAAAGAAAATTTAACATTTGCGAATAAACTACAAGTTGTCCAGTTGTTTGACAAAAGCCACACCCGAAATCTAACCTGCTAAAATAACTGCAATGAACTCTTAAAATACTCTTGAAAAAAGACAGTGAACACACCTCCTCTTCGTCTGGGCGTTGAATGACAATATGTGACACCGTAATTTCTTCAACTTCTTCCACCTGAGGACTAGGAAGATTCTTGTTGTCACACCCGTTTGAAACTTTAGACGATGACTGTTTATCATGATATTTCTTAGCTTTTCCTCCTCCTCCTCCTCCTTCTCCACTTTCATCCAGACGACGAAGATAAGCTAAAAGAGCAGTTGGTGAATGATCATCAACAGACAATCTCTTCAAACGATTATCTTTGAAAGGGTTTCCATGGATTTTAAGAAGATTTAGTTTCCGACAGCGATGAATATTCGATGGGAAGTCAGTCAACAAGTTTTCAGCAAAGTTTGCAGTTTTCAAGGCAGCTAGATTACATAGATCTTTGGGTAAAAGAGTGATTTGATTATATGAAACATCCAAAACTGCCAGGCTAGTGAGCGAGTCTATTCCCTCGGGTAGTGACTAAAAACCCAAAATCAAAGTGATAAGTGAAAGACAACATACATTTAGCTTATTCTTGGAGGCTAAGAACTCATGCAGCGACTTTAACCCCTTGACAGATGGTATATTTTGTATTTCATTACCAGACAAAATGAGACTAAATAGGTTCGACAAATTATCAAAAATGTCAGGAATAGTTGAAAGCTTGTTAAAAGATATGTCTAAGAAGCGTAAAGCATGCAGACATCCCAGGCTAGCGGGAACAGCTTTCAACATGTTGGCTGTGAGACACAGTTGAGCAAGGTTTGAGAGTTTGGATATATTTTCAGATAAAGATTCCAGAGAAGTACGCGAAATTTCCAGAAAATTCAGCTTCTTCAAATCATAAATCCTTTGGTCAAGTCCCGACTTGTTGATCATCTCAGAAACTTCTTTTCCAGAAACTACGAGTTCACGTTTTTCTTCCTGTAAAGCCGTGGAAACAACAGCCCACTAGAAATAAATCAGAAAATTACAAGGAATGAAATATACCTCATGTACATCTTGAAATGATATTTAAAATATGTATTTAGAACTCATTTATTAAATTGGTTAAAAACACACACCTGGTATAGCACTAAAACAACCAGAAAAAGTAACACTATCATGAAGTAGAAAGGAAAAATGAGGTAGAATGATCAGAAAAACAGCCTCGCGTATTTAAGGAAGCGCTTGCTACTTACATGCAACTTTTCAGAAAAGGCGAAAAAGGGTTTGTCGAATTGTTTGTCGAGTAACTCAAGTTCACTGACAAGGATTTACCAAATATTGGCTGAATCTCTGCTGTCTGATACATAGCCAAAGCTGTACTACCTAGGTCATACATAGCAAATAAATTACTTCATTTTTTCAAGAGTTACTATTGAACTCATAGACTGAGTCAGTTGGCAAGTAGTTTGACTTTTGATGTCAACCCAGAAAAAGTTGTTTAGAGATAGTCAGCACCCGAAGACTATGAATGAATTTTATCAAAGTTTCATAAAGTAACGAGTATAACCAGCCAGTCCGACGCATAGATAACTACTGTTACTAAATGCCTCTAAAAAATAGACATTAAAGTAGACGACATTATAAGAGTTAAGATGTTCGACCACTATTGCCTTGTATTTTAAAACCAGCAAGTTAGTGACGAAGTCGTGTGCACAGCTTCAGGCAAAAGAGGAAAAGCTATTAATGAGTTTGCGAACCTTTATCGAATCAGGGACAAAGATATGTGTTACGCTTGAGTATTCAAAGTTAACCCCTTATGCGATCTTAACTGAAATGGGTTTAGGGTAAAAAAAGGTCAGAGAAAACGAAATTAAAACTTTCCACCGTCATCAATATTAACATAGGATCAAGCATTACTCAGAAACGTTCCAACTTCCCACCCATATCAACACATCAGGTAATAAAGCATTAAGATGAATGACGAGGAAAGGAAGGAACATCGGTCAAAAGTAATACAAAATAGCAAAAGATAGGAAGGAGGAAGGAAAAATGCTGAACTCAGAATAGCGATTAAGATCACAACAATGTGTGGATACATATGAGCCACTGACATCGGTTCTCAGCCATATCATCTAGTCTTCAAACATTGATTTCTGTTGTCACGTGGACGCCAGACAGCTAGTCTACATTTCCCAACATGGCTCAGACCAACAGCGAAGATTCAATGCACTAATGCCATGTTTTAGTCTGATCAACCTTTTTCAACCTGAACCTACTTTAGCTGACATTGTGCGATGAGGCAGACGGTGACTAGGCATATGTAGCACATGTCCCACTCAACTCAGTCGATGAAGGTTTACTGATGCATCAATTGACTCTCCTCTCCTTAAAACTCCTGAACATAATAATCAGAGGTAGCTCTCAGACTTCACCTATGTCATACTCGGGTTCCCACTACACCAAAACACTCCAGAATACACATTAGGAAAGTATAGAAACTGAGAACAAGCATCAGTGATAACTAGCAGTGGTTTTCCCACTGAATGACTGCTAGAATCAACGTAGAACCTTGCACAGTTCAATGGCTCAAGATGCCACTGTAACTATTAAATGTCTCGTACTTTTAACGCTCATGTCTCACAGCCGCACAACAGGACAGAGGGAAGTGCAGTGCAGTTTACTCGTCCTTTGATAGATAGCCGGATATTGGTATTCACACCCGTAATTACCACTGTGAACGGACTTCTGAAAGATAGTGGCTGATTCCAACTGAATTATCCAAAAGGGAACTAGAAAAGCATAGATATCGTTAAAAGGAGGAGTACTATGCGCTCACATTCTGATCTTACAAAAAATCCTAATCTACGACCTCTTATACCTTTTTGACATCAGGTGACTATCCACAGTTTTATATTCTGATGGCTAAACCTTGTTTTTACTCAATAATAATGAGACTAACGATTAACCTAAATTCGAACAATCACCTCTTCATATACACTTTGGTGTTTGATCACTTACGAGTTTGACCCAAAGTTAATTGATCAACCAGATGAGCCCTTTTTTAAACAGTTATTTGAAATAATAAAAATGATTTAAATATGGACATATCGTAAAATGATTTAACATAAGATGCAAGTATTTCTAAACTTAGTTTAAATGTACCATTCTAAGCGACGAAAGAGCCGTTAGTCTTGCTTTTTTAAAGTGAACAGCACACTAAGTGATTTTTCGTTCAGCTGCGCACGATAATAATGCGTTACAGCGTTAATTGAAATCGTCTTCACATTATTTATCAAAAAACAAAGCATCACGACTTGCCTAGTTCTAAACTCCAGGACTTTAGATGTCATAATAATTATTTTGAAAACAATGTCAAGAATCCACTTCAGAAATTCAAACATACGTATGCTTAAGAGAGCTTAGTACTGAGAAGTGGATATTCATAGGCGTAAACCGGTAACAGTTCAAAATATTTTCATTTCTTACACCTTTACCAAAGCATGAAAGAACCATATAGTATTTTTCCAGAGAATGTCACACAGTAATTCGAAACTCTTATACATCTGCAGACTGAATGAACCACTTCGCTGTCGCTGTTCTGTTTCTGAAACATTTTTTAAACAAAGGCTTGTTGGGAAAGTTTTCTGTCATGGAAGTTGGTTGAATCACTACAGTTTTTATCCAGACGACTACCAACCCCAGCAAGCACTATCCCCTGCACTATAACTTGGCTATATACTTTTTCAGTCAACTGGATAGACAGAAGATTCAGTCGAGAATCGTCCTGTTGACCTTCAGATAAATCCAAACGACTTTGGAAACTATAGGCTGTTTACAAGATTAGAAGGGTATTTATACGTTGTATATGACATAAAAGGTTAGTTAAATATTCGAAACTTCACCACTTGTATGTAATATCGCACCACTTACCTCACAAGTCATTGTAATACGTGTATCCGATACACACGCCGAAAAGTGCAACGCCACCTTTAAACCAGGCGCGTTGTAACCCTCCTCCTTTCAGAAAACAGTACTCAAGAATAATGATTGTAACTTGGTTGGAATGAGGCAATCTCTGTGGCAAATATCCCATCGAAGTGCCAGTCTGTTCATGAGCATACTCCCCGAGGAAGCTAATATCACTTGCCAAGGTTCGGCGTTCATGTTATTGACCTCCGCCTGGTTAACTAGTTCACTAGTTACTAGCCGGTCCTAAGCCCAGGCAAAGAGGGAAGTTTGGGCATAGAGCCAGCAACCCTACCCCGCAAAACAAATCTAACCCCTAAAGAAACTTCTAAGCACAAACGATATATAAAAAATAATAACATTTATTCCTCTCTGGAATCGGAGAGGCGAAATGACGCGGGTTGGTGAAGGCCTACGGGAAGCCAGTCGGAAGGTGTATCTCCTCTCTCTCCATGAAAGCAAAAGTAAGCATGGGGACATGGAATTTCCGCACCATGTATGAACCTAGCAAGACTGCCCAGATTGCAAGAGAGATGAGAATGTATAGCATTGAAGTGCTATAAATCTGCGAAAGCAGATCGAATGGAAGTGGACCCTCCCAACTGTCAACTGGAAAATCAATAATCTACTCTGAAATTGTCACCCAGACGACAACCACGAGCACACTGAGTTTCGGAATGGCTGTCATGATGTCCCGAACAACATCGAAGGCTCGCTCTCATGCCATGGGAACCAATCTCCTCCAGGATCATAACAACGAGGTTCAACACAAAAGGACGGTAAGTCACAATCATACAATGCTACGCTATGCACCTGCAAATAATGCAGATGAAGAGAAAAAGGAGGATTTCTACAGACAACTGCAATCAACACTGGACAAGACGTCAGTTGGCGATATCAAAATTCTAATGGGCGACATGAATGCCAAACTGGGAGCAGACAACACAGGTAGAGAAGCAACTATGGGTCGAGAGGCACTTGTTGAAATGAACGAGAATGGAGAACTGTTTGCAGAATTCTGTGCATTCAGTGATTTGGTGATTGCAGTGAGGCAGTGTGTTCAAGCACAAGGATATCCACAAAGCGAAATGGATCTGATTTCACCAGATGGACACACTAAAAATCAAATCGACTTTATCTCAATCTCAAGAAAATGGAGACGCAGTCTACTTAACACAAGGTCAAGAAGAGGAGCAGATGTAGGTTCAGACCACTCACTGTCTAGTGCAAGGAACCTTCCAAATCAGGTTAAAAGCCTTCAAGGAAGCTGGTGATAGACCTCAATTCAAGTACAACACTCGGAAACTGAACTGAAGGAAGAAACTACAAAGGAGGTCTTCAAGGCAGCCATCAAGACAAAATGGGAGATATCGAGGAACATCCGTGAAGAAACCTGTGTGGAAGAACACTGGAAGCCTTCGAAAGGGATGTGGAAAGAAACCTGCACAGTCGTATTAGGAAGGAAGAAGAAAGAAGACAAGGAATGGATCTCGACGGATACCTGGAAGCTGATGGAGGAGAGGAGGATGGTGAAGCAGAAGATAAACCAGTGCAAGGATGCTCAACGACAAGAGGAACTGAGCGCAATGTATAAAACACTGCACTGGACAAAAAAGTGAAGAAGAGTGCACGCAACGAAAAAAGACACTTCCACAACACACTGGCAAGTGAAGCAGAACAGGCTGCAGGTGGGAGAGATAGAGACCTGACAACATTGTATCAAATAACCAGGTTACTATCTTGGAGGAAAGAGATCAACACAGATGAAACCAATGAAAGATGATGACGGAAATTTAATTACGAAAGAAGAGAAACAAAGGAAACAGTGGGCCGACCACTTCAAGAAGCTCTTGAATTGACCACCACCACCACCAGAAGTACCACCTACAGCCACTGAACTACAAGTGAACATAAATCCTCCAACAAAAAGGAGGTCCTGGATGCCATCAAGCTACTGAAACGTGGAAAAGCAACAGGACCAGATAGAATCCTGTCAGAAGCACTTAAAACAGACGCAGAGACAACAGCGGACATGCTCACACCACTACTGCAGAAGGTCTGGAAGGAAGGGAAGGTACCTGGGCTACCTTGTCAAACTCCCGAAGAAGGGAGACCCCGGTGTTCGCAAGAACTGGCTCGGAATCACGCTCCACCTCCGTCCACCTTAGGCAAGCAAAATATCAAGCTGCATCATTCCGGAGAGGCTAAAGAATGCACTGGAATAATAACTACGACCGGAACAGGCAGGCTTCAAGAAGTACAAATTATGTGCAGACCGAATTGCAACGCTTTGCATCATCAAAAGACGGAGTATAAAACGTCAGCCAACACTCTACCTCAACTTCATCGACTTTGAAAAAGCCTTCGATGGCGTTGACCAAGGAGTAGTCTGGCAAGCAGCTGCTTCAACACTACGGAGTAACACAAACCTTTATCCGCCTCACTCAACAACTATATGAAGACGCTAGATGCCAAGTAATTCACAATGGAAAGCTCAGTGATGCTTTTGAAGTGAAGACAAGAGTGAAACAAGTTTGCCTACTATCCCCCATGATATTCCTGATTGTGGTCGACTGGATCATGCAGCAAACAGTGGGGAGCTGTGAGAAGAGGGGGGTACTCTGGCTGAACTGCGGAAAAGAACCTAGAAGATTTGGATTTCGCCAACGATGACTTGTGCCTGATGTCACACAAACTTGAAGATCTACAGGCGAAAACTAACAAGTTAACAGACAGAAGAGGCGTGGCAGCGAAGACGGGACTTCAAGTGAATATAGAGAAGACAGAGGTGATGAAGATACCGCACCACCACTACCAACAACAACAACAAACTCCAGTCACCATCAACGGGAGAAACTTAAAAGAAGTAACCTCCTTCACCTATGTACGCAGCACTGTTTCAACTACAGGCGGGACAGACGAGGATGTCAAAGTCAGAATCGGAAAAGCAAGACAGGCGTTGATTATCCTGAAACCAGTGTGGAGATCTTCTGCACTCCACTCAGCATGTGGAACAAGATCTGGATTTTCAACACCAACGTCAGGTCAGTGCTTCCGTATGGTTGAGGGACTTGGCGCGTCACGAAAGGGATTTCCGATAAACTACAGACATTCATCAACAACTGCTTACGCTCTCTCGCTACTGAAGATCAGATGGCCAGAATAATAAGAATAAGCAACAGGGAACTCTGGGAACGAACCAACCAAGAACCTATCACCCAACAAATATGCATTGGAAGGAAGTGGAGATGGACTGGGCATACGCTGAGAAGGCCGACTGGGGACATCACGCTCCAGGCCAGGTGCTCGAGCGGAACCCTGATGAGAAGCGACAAACTGTGCGTCCGAGGGTGACATGGAGTAGATCATGTGAGGAAGGAATGAGAGGTTGTGGGCTGTCGTGGAGCCAGGTTCAAAAGACTTCACAGAACAGAGTGAAATGGAGACGTGCTACTGGGGCCCTATGTTCCATTAGGAACACAGGGGACTAATAATTTGTAAAAATAACAATGTTTGTTCCAGCTCAGCATTCCGTCCCATTTCAACACATTCTTACGTCATCGATGCGTATAACCACGATGGAGTTGGGAACTCCAGTACTCAATTAAGGCATACCAGGAACAACGAGGGACCATTATTTCCTGCATAACTCCACTTCTCATACACCTCCATTTATGTGGCGTCCCACTCACCCCTAATCTTCGTCTTTTGCTGCACAGAATGCCCTCGACCAGTGCCTGCAAAAAAGACAGCGAAAGCGAAAGAAGAGCGCCACCACAATGACATCAAATGATATAACTATCAAAAAGCCCTATGGAGATCTGAGTGCAGTTCACCGTCACCGGTTGTTCCCTGTCCTTCTCTCGCAACGAGTTTTGCAAACCGGAAGTGTCTTGCCTGGGAACCATTTTGCTGCGGTAGCTTTCATGATTATTACATTCACAAAGTGAACTTCAACGGTGTCCTGTTTGGACCTTTGGGTAACGAAAATTTCACCATATACACCCCATTAACTTCTCAACCTTTGCCTTGTCTTCGTCACTTAAACGCATCTTCTAAGCATACCACTTATTCAGTGACGTTTTAACGTGTTTTGAACTGCTGTTTCTCAAAGTAAGTACGAAGGAAAGAAAAACGGCAAACCGAATTGAACATGACTCGGGGGCTGTACGGAATCACCACCTAAGTTAAATCTAATGCTTCCTCTTTATCAAGTTCTACATTTTGTACATTCCGATTAATACTTGCGAAAATGAACGTTGTTTATCCGTACAATTTAAAGCTGGATGTTCGGTCGTGACAGCATCACTTAGCTTCTGACTTTAAAACCGGAAAATATAGTTCACTTCTATTCGCTTCAGCTTATGCTCCATTAACTACTGTTTGACGTGAATACTGATTGACTGTGTTTGAACTTTACAGGACCTGTCGTCCTGCTTCTAAATACCCGACAGTCAAGCCAAACAACGTCAACTCTGGAGTTTTAGCAGGTATAGCTATCTGAATCAACATTGGTGTATACTAAATCGTGGCGGACAGTACCAAGGAGATGATATTCAAGTGACACATCACTACATAAAACACCGATATTACTACTTCGTATTACGATGCATAACTTTTCGTATTTGTGCTCCACTGAAGCTGTTTTTGATAGTTACGCTTAACATGATAGTTTGGTTAACTTGACATTCGTCTGGGTCCACTTTGCAGCAAGAGGATTTGTTATTGCTCGGGCTCAAGAAGTTGAGAATTTGTCCTTGGTCGGGCTCGCCAATCTAGTTGTCCAGGGTGCGAGCTTGATAGGCACAGAGGCCAATCACCCACGGATACGAGACCAAGAAAGAACACAATGGCGTAGTCAGATGAACCAGTATGCTTGTGAGGTCGTGCCACGATACCGATGCGTTTCAACCAACTGGCTGGGGAGTCGATTACGCTCAGTGCAATGTAACACGACAGCGTACCAAATGGCGTGGACGCCTGACGGGGTGCCCTCAGCCTGACGAGTTCGGTCAAACCATGGAGGTCGCCACAAACGTC